CATCTATCAATAATAAATCTCATCTGGTTTGTTGCTTGACAAGAATACAAAAACAAACGATTGCGAATTGGAGCAGCGTTCACTGGAAAATTTTTTTTTTTGACTATAAGTTCTATCCATAAATCTCAACTGAAAGGTGACAGCTCGTTTTGTTGATGGAAATTGACGTGTTGAAAATGAAACCTATCACAAAATCACAACAAACATTGCACTGTGGAAAAAACATTAGTGATATTGATCATATTAACGCTCAACAACGGATATAATGGCATTATTCTACTGAATACGGAAGCATATCAATAATGGAATAGAACAGAGAAAGCTCGTTTTCGATGCAGAATGTTGCGCTGATGGTTTTGATTTCATTTTGACCAAACACTAGATATAAACATTACCCTGATCATCAGTCTTTATGCCCTCTTCATCACATCAACATTCCATCACTTATGGAGTATTCAAAAAAGAGGGAACAAATTACAAATGAATTGAATCGCAACAAAACATGCGAAGTAATGTGAATATAAATAATGTGCAAATAACTAAAACTAAAAACAACAAATGCATTGCACACACTTCTTCAACTCATAACAATTGAACCCCTCTCGAACAAACACTACCTTTCAGCCCTTCTAAACGGTCAACAAAAAGGATAAAATCAATCAAATCCGATCTACTGCACTCGATATGAATTTTCTCATGAATACTCATAAATATGCATTCACTTACTCAACAAAACATTGTTCCTTATTTGATTTCAATGAAAATTTATGAGTTCGCCGATTCGAGATAAAAATATTGACTTTGAGCTCAACGATAATAATTTAGAAAAGAAAACAATGGATTAAGTTGACATTCATGGGGGCATCACTTCAGATTGATCCACCAATGCTCTATTGTCCTTAACAGTTCGTCACGATGTTCCATATAATAGACTACGTTATCACTTAACGTCATTATGGCCGTTGAACCTTTCTCTTAAATTCAAAAATTATATTGTAACATTCTTATTGTTGGTGTTTACAGCACTGTTGACATTATTAGTTCAACGTGACATTGTTATTATTGAAACAGTTATTTACACAGATAATGAACGAGATTACACTATTTACACATCCATCAATAATGCATCAGAAGTGATTCCTCGAATGCGAGCATAAATAATATTCGAATGTAGAAAAANTTAAGTTTTAAACGCAAACTGCACCCAACAAGAAATAATACTAAATATTCAAAGAAATAATCTTAGAAATAATTTTGACGTACCAACGATGAAAACGGCAAAATCTGAGAAAATGATGAGTAACATTTTGAGTGCAATAACAACGTTGTCAACGAAATCTGCCACATAATCAGACGCATTCTCCGAATACCACTTTTGTAATACGGCAAACTGCAAAATCAAACCCTATTTTTCTTTACGATTACTGCCATTGGTATTGCATTGATATTCTTTAATGAATACCCAAAGAGATACAAGCCAAATCATAGGCTGGCTCATCTCGATAACACCGATGGGACTAGAGCACTATCCAAATTTTATCCAAATTTGAGCTGAACTTTCCTCCGATTGTTTGCAAAATTGAAGCCTTAATGACGCTCATAAAGTGAAAATTTAGTGGCATTCGTGAAACCTCACCAACAGCTGCGTGATATGAATATTCAGTTCTAAGATTGTTATTAAAGTAGAGTTGTCTCAAATCGACTTTCAGTGTCGACTAGAATTGGTTTTGCTTTGAAAACGAAATTGTCATGAAGGAATCGCCTGAGCTTATTGGCGCTGTAATTGTTCAAAACTTAATGAATTTGCTATCTGAACGCTATTCATTACACCGTCCATGCGCAACTCTTATGACATTCGAACTCATTTTCAACCACTAGTTTCATGAAAAATATTAGAATAATAGAACGATGAATAAACCACAGTCATGAATGCTTTTACTGCTCAACCATAATACAAAAACTAACAAATAACAAACTTCTCAGGTTCAAACCCGAGAATAGATCAAATAAAATCATTTGAACTAACCCATTCAGAAGCGTACTTCTGGACCACAAAAGCTACGGCAACTAATTTCGTATAAAACGAACTGCAATAGTACTGTATCTTTTCGATGAATCCACCTTCCTCTATATCTGATTGCACTTCACGTAATTTTGCCATATAAACCCAACCCATCGATGACAACGTTTGATACAAATTTTTGGTGAATGTAGTAGATAACTGAAATACCACTAAATGATCATGGTTAACCTTAAGAAAATTTTCATTTTTACGACTAATGCTGTACAAGATGAGGAAACATACGGTTGAGCAACCATACTCAAAATAAACAAACACACCAGCATGAATCATGATTGTTGTGATAATTAATTACATCGAACAGTAAAATGTCAATGATGAAGCATACAACTGCACTGGGTTCCACTACAACAATCATTTAAAGGAACAATCTATTACTACATCAAAAAAAAAACTACTACTGTTATTGCAGCAAAAAAAGGGGATGGTACATACCTTACGATGTTGAATCAATTTATGTAAATCGTCACAGAACGGCTGCGACGAAGGAATCCAATGGTGTGATTCTTGAGAGCAGTTATCAAATATGATAAATGAAGAGAGCGCAATACCAACCAGCGTAACGATCACCAACAGCATCATAAGTTTACGTATCAACCCAAACACTAAACAAACATTCAACAAGTCAAGTCTATTACCATGAACCGGAAAAACTGTATGAAAATGAAACACTGTCCACTTCGATGAACATCAAGTTTATGGACACGGAAAAGCATTTGTTATTGACATTGGAAATATAATAGTTTATACATAATTTACGTCATTCCGATAGGAAAAAAAGAAATAAAAGAACACAGTAAATAAAACCTCTGGAAAGACAAGACTGAGACGTTGGTTTATTAGGCGCATAAGTCCGATTTGGTGTCTCTTTAGACTGTTTTTGCATCCTCGGACCTAGAATGAAGAATGATTAGTGCGAGAAATGATTCGCTAGGGATTGCGTGGTAATAATG